ACGTACCCTGCGGGTTAAACGGTTCGGTCATACCGGAACGTACGCCTGGTCCTATGCTAATATGCCGGCCCGTCACCTCGCCTATCTCGCACCTACAAGTCTACGGGAGCTCGCCTACGCCTACTCCCTAACCCTAAACCTAAACCGCAGTAGTAGTAGTAGTAGTAGTAGTAGTAGTAGTAGTAGTAGTAGTAGTAGTAGTAGTAGTAGTAGTAGTAGTAGTAGTAATAGTAGTAATATAATAGTATTAGTAGCAGCAGCGGCGGCGGCGGCGGCAGCAACAACAGAAGCCAGAGCAGTAATTATTCATAGACTAGCTGGAACCCGCGCTACGCGCGGGCTTAGTGACTGTTATGCATGTGTTACCAGTGTTACAATACTGATACACGTACTGCATTTAGATATATGTTAGAACACCATGCTTTATTATCGAGCACCTGGTAGGATACAGGTCTAAGCACGCACAAAGTAAGAAGAGGCCTACTGCCACATGGCAGTGCCGTATATATGCTAAGCCTCCTATAGTTCACACCAGGTGGCGTCGGCGTAACAAACGCTCAGGTGTTTGTTTATAACAACATGTGTTGTGACATCCTTCCTCTTTATAAAATAACACGTACGTTGTACAGATGATATAGATGCCAAATAAAGTAGAGACGTTATAAATTGAGAAAAATAGATGAATGGGTTTCAAGGCATTATCAACCAAATTATAATAAAATAAACAACATTAGCCCTTTTACAAATTCATACTAAAGATCTAGGGCTACCACAACGTCGTTACAACTAAACTCACATCGTTACTTATTCTTTAATGTCACTACCACATCACCATTATATTTACAGGTGGTAGCTTCTTTGCTATCTACTCGTCCCCATAACGTTTTGGTTTCTTAACTGTCCGCCCGGATCTGGTTCTGGCTGGACTGATGGACGTCATTGGTGGTGGCCGCCGGAATGACTGCTCCTGTTTCTCTACGTGTAGCGGTGGCTCAGTAGGCTCAGCTGTCGGTCGCTCAGCTGAGACAGGACTCTCCAGTCGTCTCTGAACCGGTTGAACAGCCGGACTCTCTAGTTGTCTCTGGCTTTCTGTAGCCGTGACTTCTGTAGTTGCTGGTGAGCAGATGTTGTCCGCTCTCTCTGCTGATCGCCTCAAATGGACACGGTTTTTACGATAAGTCCCAGTGTTGGTCTGTACCACGTAATCTCGGCCAACACCATCGCGTGCGCCTTGCCGCGGAACTGCGCGCAAGATTCGCGCTTAGCGGGCAGGATCAACACCTCTCAGGCGACGCTTCTCTGGTATCCGGTCTCTCATCTGGATATGTACGCACAACGCACAGTACGGTACAGGATACTATTGCCAGAATGTCCTGTCATGTGTGACTCTGTGCTCTTAACAAAGTCATCAAAACGGTTCGAAAGCCATCTACGTACAGTATTTCAACCGCAATGGCTAATCGCCTTCGCCAAACGACTTTTAAAGGCGAGCGAAAAATCAGATTGTGTCCCTCACCTCTTCCTATCGTGGTTTCACTCTACTCAGTTGCTAAGCAATACTCACCAGTGCTGCGATGCCGAGGCATTGAAGGAGCGGCGCGCATTATTTTCCTTATAACGCACATACAAAGCGCGGAGTGGGAGAGGGTAGAAACAATTTGGTAAAGAAAAAACCAGCGTGCGAGAAGACTAGAAATATAGAGGGGTATAGATGGAATGAGTGGGAGGGAGGAGGAAGAAAGTGAAGGTGTGCGCAAGAGCGGAGATGAAAAGGAATAGCACGAGAGAAATCGGAGAGAGCATGTGTGTGTGTATGTGTGTGCGTATGTGTGTGTGTGTACCTTCGCGCGCCCATGATGTTTTAAATAAGTAGATAACATAAAGGGGGCGTGAACGCGTAGAGTGGAGAGTTTGAATGATCCCGATGAGTCGTGTTATTGCCACGATCAAATACTCTGAATATATGCGCTTATATTTTTGCAATGCTTTCTCCCCCGACTCATCGTCATGCCGTTGATACCATAACGAATACATAAAGTAAACCTATCAATTTGTCCAAGGGTGAGATCATCGATGTCCATTGGATTACAGTGCGTAACTAATATATTGCATCAGCTGCCTGTGTATGAGAGTCGGTACTAGAAAGACGCTTCCGCATTTCGTATACAGTGAGGAATCAATGCATGAAATGTACAGTGCGAGCTAAGCTGAATTCCTATGTTCCCAAGGCTATAAACCAAACAATAATCCGAGGTATGTGTCATATAAGGAACCTAGTACAGGCAGCTCTCTCTCTCTCTCTCTCTCTCTCTCTCTCTTTCTCTCTCTCTCTTCTTCTTCTTCTTCTTCCTCTTCTTCTCTATTTCAGCATCTCGTTTTCCAACTCTCTTTCACTTTCACCTCAGCTTTCAAGCGCTCTCACTCTCTGACACGCTCTCTTTGTCCTTCTCTCATTCGCTTACACTTGTTCCATCTCTCTCTCTCTCTCTCTCTCTCTCTCTCTCCGTATCTCTCTATCTCTCTTGCTCTCTCACTCTCTCTCTCTCTTTCTCTCTCTCTCTTTCCCCGTTTCTCTCTATCGGTCTTGCTCTCTCTCTGTTGTTTCCTTCACTCATCTCTTCTGGCCCTTACTAGCTATCGCGCGCTTTCTCTATGCTCACGTACTCTTTCTCTCGATCCTCCTCTTACTCGCTTCTTTTCTCTCTCTCTTCATCCTCTTGCCAGCTTTCATGCAGCAGTGCTTACATTAGGAATTTAATTTCCCATAACAATAAACATGCAGCGGGTGAACACAGCAGAGAGAAAACGGACTATTAAATGCTATGAGATAACCGAATATAATTTTCTATACCATCGACTGCGCCTATATAATCGACGCACTATGTGAAGTGTTCCCCGTCGCCCCACACCCTCGATCGTTCTCTGTGTGTGTCCTAGGGGGGTATTCATAATTCATCGCTTCAATGCTTGGCTTCCAGTAGAGATATTGTCGAATCCAAGATCTGTACCTAATGCCGATGTCACACACATACGGACACTCTCAGGCGAGCGCGCACACTCGTACGCACACACGCACGCTCGTACGCACAACACACATCCCCCCACACACACACACGCGCGCGCGCATGTGTAGCTGCTACGTGCACGTGATGTCTTTAGCAAAACCTTGTTAAATCTTCTGGTGGCTAGATTTCCCCTAAACGAGTTTGAAATAACATGATAATATAATACGATTGATGACATGTTTGATATAACACAAATGAGATATTTCAACATCTAACAAGCACTTATTGGAGTAATGTTACACAGCTCCTGTGCGTTACTAACTCATCGTGATCGTCGATGGACAGGCTGTTTTCTTTCACTACGCGGCATTACTGCGTATTTGATTTTATCGAAAAGGTCACAAGAAGATCTGATGTTGAGAATCGAGATAATGTATTAGAAAGGTTCTGTCCTAATCAGTGCATTCATCCCTCATCAGTTTGTCGTTTCAGCGACACGCATTTCTCCGCTGCATGATTTTCGTGGGCGCGCGAATATAATCGAAGTTAGTAAATGTTCCTACGACCATGTTCGTGAAATGTGTGAGAGAGTTATACGAATGTTTGAAGGAATTTTTCGCGCCACGCATATTATCCACAGGCCAATACATCAAAATTTCCATTGCACAAAAACAATTACACGATTCATAATATAAATGTGCTGTTAGAATGGCAGTATGCTGGACGGGCGAACTGTTCTGTTAGAATCGCGTGTGATGAAAGCAATGATGACTGGCGCCATTGTTACTAGACCGTTTATATAGAATTACTCAAATAAGCCAGTGTATACCCTGTTACCCTGTTGCGCCTTGTAGGTAGATCTAGCAGCGCACAATATTAAATTGAATATAATTTTTTTTTTATATAGATCGCAATAATAAGAGATCGGTGTCGGTGTCGGTGTCGGTGTGTGTGTGTGTGTGTGTGTGTGTGTGTGTGTGTGTGTGTGTGTGTGTGTGTGTGTGTACGTCCGTGTTTGTGTGGGGGTGCGCACGCAGTAGCAGTAGGCAGTAGCAGTAACAGTAGCAGTAATAGTAGTATTCACTGAAGCCACAGTAGTAAAATCAGGAACAGTAGCAGCAGCGGCAGCAGTAGCATTTTCAGCAGGAGCAGCAGCAGCAGCAGCAATCACCGCGCCGCCGTCGCCGTTAAAAAAAAACATATTTAGAAAATCTAACGGAAAATCTTCCTGGAAAACATGCACGATTCAGTTCAATTCCGCTAGGTGCGCTGTCTGTAGACTTACAAACACGCAACCACAGGCTAAGGGATACAGTAGTCTGTCACGTAACCTTGCAGTGGATTCGCCAGGGCACACGCGCTGGCTGTGGAATCCCCCACCTGCACGCTCGCACTCAGCGCATATCTATCTATCAATTACCCTATATATTTTTCCATCTATCTATCTATCTATCTATCTATCTATCTATCTATCTATCTATCTATCTATCTATTTAGTTGTCCTCATTTTCGTTTGTATGATTGTGTTCAACACTCGATGAAAGCAGCGACACGCTACACGTGCGTGCGTGCGTGTGTGTGTGTGCACGTACACGTGCTGGCGTGTGCACGTACACGTCGTGCTTGCGTACGTACACGGGCGTGCGTGCGTGCTGTGTACGTACACATGCGTGCTTGTGTGCACGTACAAGTGGCGTGCGTGTGCACGTACAAGTGCGTACGGGCGTGCGCACGTACACGGCTAACTACGAACTCGCTTATAACGAAAAACAATGCCAAGCTATGACGAAAAAAGCGTCAAAAGGGCGCCGCCTGTCTGTGTAGTATAGTAATAATTTATTTATTTTTAGTGAGTAGTAATTTTATAATGTTTTCTCAATAAAATAATGCATGGCTGCGGTATGCTGCGAAACACCTGCCGAAAAATTTCGCGAGTTGGTTTACGGCACGCTGGTCAGCTCGTGCTAAAGTTACGCAAATGTTTACGTAAATTTTAGCTTGATGAATCGCACCTAAAACGGCCTCGCTGGGCGTACGCGAAATCGTACGAAAATTACTAAATAGCTGTGTTGATGAATCGCAACTAAGCAACGTCGATTGCGTACACAAGATTTACGCAAAATATTTTGCGTACGCAGCTTGATGAATCATGAATCTACCCCCTGGACCCCACCCGTCAGTGCAAGCGCACACGGTATCTGGGGCGTGTACAGGGGGGTCCAGGAGATCCGGACCCCCCCTACTCGCGCAGAAAACGCATCTGAGGGGGTCTAATTTTAAAAAAAATATCGGGGGACAGCCCCAGACCCCCCCTGCGCGTGCTCCAGTACACGCCACCTGGTTTCGCCCCCCTAGCAAAATACCCTGGCGCCGCCCCCTCTCAAAATCAATAGGGGTTCTTACCGCCCCCTTAAGGTCCACCTCTGGACAAAGTTTGAAGTTTCTACCTCTAACGGTTGCCAAAAATATCGAAGCAGACAGACAGACACACGCACACGGCACACAGCGCGCACGCTGCGCACACACAGACACACAGACACACACACACACACACACGCACACACGCACACACAAACGGCGCGAAAACAATACGTTCCCTACACCACGTGCGGAGTATATAAACGATTACTGCGAAGCGTTTGCCTACATTTTTTCAAGAATCATTACTACAGTCAGAACTCCGTTAGTAGAAAACTGACGGCGCAAAGAACATAATTGTATTAAGCGGGTTTCGCATTAACCATTCAACATATATTAGCACCGAATTAACAAAGAAAAAATTATGGATCACAAGGTGTGTACAAAGTGTTTTATATAGGGTTATATGTATAATTAAGAACTTTAGTAACGTTAAATTGTTCACAAATAGATTACAATTACTGCAAAGCCTAAACACCTCATTCAATTAACTACAATTCATTACTACAGTCGCACCCCGTTAGTACGGAAACTGACGGGCCAAACAAAAAATAATCGTGATTAAGCGAGTTCCGTGTATTATATTAGCCTTAATTTGAAAAGAGAAAAAACAATGGATTAGAAGGTGTGTACAAGTGTTTTATATAGAAATGAATATACCGAGACAGAAAATTTTATGTTAGTAACAGGATATCCTTTTTTTTGTAAAAGTAGTAATAGTAGAATTAATTAATAGTAATAATAGTAATAATAGTAATAAGTAGTAATAGTAGAAGCCCTTGTGACAATAGTAGCAGTAGTGCAGAATAGCAGCAGTAGCAGCAGTAGCCAGCATTAGTAGCCATAGTAGCTAGTAGTAGTGCAGTGGTAGTAGTCCTCATAGGCTGTCTATGTCCCCAGGGTACGCCGGAACGTACCCTGGGTACGGTCCGGTAACGAACGTACCCTTGGTAACTATCTGATATGGTTAGGGTTAGGGTTAGGGTTAGGGAGTAGGCGTAGGCGACTCCCTAGACTTGTTAGTGGAGTAGGCGAGGTACGGGCCGGCATATTAGATAGTACCAGGGTACGTTCCGCTATACGAACCGTACCCAGGGTACGTTCCGGGCAGTACCTCGGGGGACATAGACCACCTCTCAGCGGTAGTAGTAGTAGTAAGTAGAGTAGTAGAGTAGTAGTAGTAGTAGTAGTAGTTAGTAGTAGTAGTAGTAGTATATAATAAATAATAATAATGAGTAGTAGTAGTAGTAGTAGTAGTAGTATATAGTAGTAGTAGTAGTAGTAGTAGTAGTAGTAGTTAGTATAGTAGTAGTAATAGTAGTAGTAGCAGGAGTAAGATAATATAGGATCTATAGACTCCTATATTATCTTACTCCTGGTAGTAGTAGTAGTAGTAGTAGTAGTAGTAGCTAGTATTAGTAGTAGTAGTTAGTAGTAGTAGTATATAGTAGTATTAGTATTAGTAGTAGTAGTATAGTAGTAGTAGTAGTAGTAGTAGTAGTTAGTAATAGTAGTAGTAGTAGAAGTAGTAGTAGTGAGTAGTAGTAGTAGTAGTAGTAGTAGTTAGTAGTAGTAGTAGTAGTAGTAGTAGTAGTAGTAGTAATAGTAGTAATATAATAGTATTAGTAGCACGCAGCGGCGGCGGCGGCGGCAGCAACAACAGAAGCCAGAGCAGTAATGTATTCATAGACTAGCTGGAACCCGCGCTACGCGCGGCTTAGTGACTGTTATGCATGTGTTACCAGTGTTACAATACTGATACACGTACTGATTTAGAGTTATGTTAGAACACCATGCTTTATATCGAGCACCGGTGGATACAGGTTAAGCACCACAAGTAAGAAGAGGCCTACTGCCCCATGGCAGTGGCCTATATATGCTAAGCCTCCTATAGTTCACACAGGTGGCGTCGGCGTAACAAACGCTCAGGTGTTTGTTTATAACAACATGTGTTGTGACATCCTTCCTCTTTATAAAATAACACGTACGATGTACAGTGATATAGATGCCAAATAAAGTAGAGACGTTATAATATGAGAAAATAGATGAATGGGTTCAAGGCATTATCAACCAAATTATATAAAATAAACAACATTAGCCCTTTTACAAATTCATACTAAAGATAGCTCACAATCGTTACACTATACATCGTTACTTATTCTTTAATGTCACTACCACATCACCATTATATTTACAGGTGGTAGCTTTTTGCTATCTACTCGTCCCCATAACGTTTGGTTTCTTACGTCCGCCCGGATCTGGTTCTGGCTGGACTGATGGACGTCATTGGTGGTGGCCGCCGAATGCTGCTCCTGTTTCTCTAGTGTTCGGTGGCTCAGTTGGCTCAGCTGTCGGTCGCTCAGCTGAGACAGGACTCTCCAGTCGTCTCTGCACCGGTTGAACAGCCGGACTCTCAGTTGTCTCGGCTTCTGTAGCCGTGACTTCTGTAGTTGCTGGTGAGCAGAGTTGTCCGCTCTCTCTGCTGATCGCCTCAAATGGACACGGTTCCTACGATAAGTCCCAGTGTTGGTCTGTACCACGTAATCTCGGCCAACACCGTCACCTTGTATGGTAACACAACCCTTAACCCATTTTTTCCCCCTGGGGCAGGCTGTACCCGTACTACATCACCTTGCGACAACTCTCTTAGATCTTTTGCAGACTTATTATAATAATCTGCTGCCTCTGTGCTTAGTAGGGTGATCCTCTCCCCGCAGTCATGCAGTAGACCTCGGGGATTGAGTAGAGCTGCAGTGGTGGGTAGCAACGTCTTTGTACGCCTACCAAAGATTCTTTGTGCTGGCGACGATCCTACTCCCTGGGTTGGAGTGTTCCTGAAGTCCAGAATAGCCAGGTAAGGATCAGATTTTGCCATCTTCGACTTCATAATTAGATTCTTGATCGTCTTCACCGCATTTCCACTTTACGTTACTCTGCGGATATCGAGGAGATGAGGTGTTATGCTCAAAAACCCACTTCCTGCTAAAGTTCGCGAACAATCACACGAAAACTGTGGGCCGTTGTCACTCACGACAGAATCCGGTATCCCGTGTCGTGAAAACTGTGCCTTTAGCTTCGTGACAACCGTTTCTGCTCTGGTATCCTCCAGATAATCTACCTCAATAAAGTTTGAGTAGTAATCCGCAGTGACGAGGTAATTCAACCCATCGATATAGCACAGCATGTTCCCACCGTAGCCCATGGCCTACCAGGCACATCATGTGGCACTAACGTCTCCTTCTGCTGCTTCTGGGCATCGAGTTGCAGATTTCCACATGAACAATGAAATCGCGAATTTCCGAATTCATTGCTGGCCAATACAGCACTCTCGTAGC